AAAAATACAATATCAATAGGCTACTGGCTGATTTAAAATTAGACATGTTTATTTCTTCTGCTGAATTTATAGCTGTAGTAGTAAGAATTAATCAGTACTGATTTAAAGGATTGTGATTATCAGTACAGATTGCTTATGTTGCTTGGTGAGACTAAGTTCTTTCCATTAATATCCAACATAATGCCTCAAAGAGAAGTAACTTATTTTATTAGCTGCAGAGATAATTTAAGATCTTAAAAATTAATTGAAAAGAGACAAGCTTAATCCTCTGAGTCTGCATACTGCAGGTGAGGTAAATAGTTGGAGTTTCCAAGTTATTTTGAACCAGAACAGGGGAGCATTTCTATTATTTATTTGCAGAAGCCAGAAACAATCTTTCCACTTTTGCAGTGAAAATCACAGCCATGGCTTTAGTCATTCAAAGGAAAAGAAAATCAATAGTTTATTTCATTATTCAGCACTGTGTATAATTTATATAACAAGAAGTTCTGATGGATGTTTTTTCAAATTTTCCATGGTTATGGAATTGATAGTTGATGAGGGGATCCTACAGACCCCTCTTATGTTATAAATATTTCCACAGCCACAAAAATACAGCACACCTAGGGTTTTTTTTTCTTTGTATTTTTTTAACAAATAAATGGATAAAGCAATTAACTCTTATATTTTGTCTTAAGTATTTACTTTTGTGTTTTGAGGACTTCAAGGACTTAACTGAATCTATGCAAATTGGGAGTGTAAATGTTCTTTCAATGTTTACACTGAGAATCTAGCAGATTGTGAAATTTCTTTTACAGATTTATTGCTTTCTTTCTAAGTTATTATAATTTCTTTAACTGTGATTTACAATTTCATCAAAAACAAACCAAGTATCTTGTAAGGGATGTGTAGATATATGATCTTCATTATTATGTCTAGACATGGAGCAAATTACCAAAATATTCTGTATACATGCTATTACACCAGTTAACATGTAGTGAATAGCCCACCTGTTGCCAGGGAAATTTTTAATCTGGAAAAATTTTAGTAGTTCTCTTTATCACAGAAGGTAAAAGGAAGGTCCAGGTATTAGCTGATTCAAGATCATTCTCAGGATTTATTTGATCCATTTTTAAATGTCTCAGAGGGAGAAATTTCTGTCATGTGTTTTAGTGAAGATATTTTTTAAAAATCAGTAATTGAATTATTTTGATTTTATGACTCTGATTCCCCTGAACAGCTTAAATCAATTTTCCTACCCCACCAAACATTTTGAAGAGTACTTTTGTGTAAATTAATTACAGAAACTAATTACTAGAATTTCTCTAAAGCAAACAGCAAAATCAAATTTTGTGCTCTTTAATAACTGAGATTTTTAAAACACATTATTACATTCTTTTGCTTTTTTATTTTTGATATTAAAAAAAAGCTAAACGAAACAACAAAATTCTGAGAGCATTGGTCAGTTTGCCCATGAGGAGGGAAGATAGAAGCAATGAGCCCTTCCTGCTGAATAGACAAATCCCTTGTTCCATTACTCTGTGTGCTCACACACAAAATGAAGCACCAAAAATAATCTGCTTCAAAGAAACCCTATAGTTTCATAAATATACACACACATATATATACACCAGTACCTGATTATGATTTTCACTTCATTAGCTGCACAAATAGGCTGATAACCATGTGCTGCCAAACATTATAAAGCACAATGGATAAGAGAGCAGCAGTTCATCTTCAGGCAGAGTCCTAACCGAGCTGCTTTATGAATGGAAGGATTTTCCTTTATTTCAGACCAAGTTTTATTGGTCTAATACTTAAAAGTAAAATTTAGTCCTGTTCCTTCCAGACAGATAATCTGTTCAGAGTATTTGAGCTGTCCCAAGGTAGCTCCCAGCATATTATCATGTTGCATTTTGTGGTCAAGACAATCATCTGCCAAGGACAATTGAGCAACTTGTATGAGTTTATTTGAAGCAATAAATTTCATTTTCAGAGCAAAATACTTTGCTGTTGCTCTGGTTTCCTAAAGCTGTCTTCATGCCAAAGTTAGCTTGTCCTTAGAAAAGATTAAAATATCTGTAGAAGTTTTTAATGGGTACTTTCATGTCCAAGATTTTTCAGTTAGATTTACATCTTGAGTTTATATTTCTGTTCACAGTTTTAATATGAATAAGAAAAAAGCTGCAGCAAACCACAATCCAGACACAAGGCAGTATGTTGTTTTGTGGAGCACTAAGAAATAAAACCATTAATGACTGCAAATTTTTTTTTTTCTTGTCCTTATTACTGAATATTCACAGGTGTGTATACATTTAGACAGTATGAATTAAAAGGGATTTACTACTGGCAACACATTACCACTGTCAGGACCATAAGGCACAGTATTTTTCCCACATCAACATGAAAATGGAGAAATACTGATAAAAGAAAAAATAAAAGTTAATAATCTTCCTGTCTGAGAAATATATTCATTTCTAAGAACATAGCAATACCAGAAAGAAAGAAGAAACCACAATAACAAAAGTAAAATAGTTGCATTATTTGGTTAATGACCCCATCTTGTGGAGCAGCACCCACGCTTCAGCACATTTATAGCTCTCATATGCATTTTTTTTTTTACCACAGTCCATTTCTTGATGGTGAATTACTTGGCATTGCACTTGCTGTGTCCAGGGAAGTGTTCTGCAGGTGATTCACCATTCGTGCACCCCAGCTGTACAGCAATAGAACAGTTCTTTGTCACACCATGACTTGCCAGGGTCAATACTCCACCTTTTAGTGCTTGGTTCAGTCTCGGGTCACCACCAGGCTCACATCCCCCAGCTCCCATGCTGGTTATCTCCTGCTGCTGTGTGTCTCTCACATGGACCTGCTGGGAGAGTTCTTGCTGCTGTTAAGAGGGGACAAAGCCATTTGCACAGCTGGAGCCTGCAGTCACTGGTTCTCACCACAGCAGTGTAAGTGGGAGCCTTCGCTGGTGCTGCTCACCAAGGGCTGCCCAGTGATGCTCATAAGCAGTGCCAGCGTGTGCTGCATCTGCCAGGGTTACCATTCCCTTGTTTTCTGTTCCCAAACAGCTGCTCACAGAGTTTGGTGAACTACTACTTGATTGGCAGCTTGGATATTTTATTGTAAAGGTTTATCCCGCTGGACATCCTTTTATTGTCATCTGGGAAAATCAGCTTTGTCTGCAATATATGTTATGCTGGTTGCTGAAGTTTTATCCACATGAGATATTTAAAAGAAATCACCTGGCATATTTCCACCCTTTCCAGGTGAACATCTTTCCCAGGAAGGTTCCATCCATCCTTGATTCTCACTTATGTATAAGCCACTCAAATATGAACTGAAATGTCTTTTTTCATCCTTTTAAAGGAAAGGTATATTTTATATCCACTTTTTGAGAAAGTGGTTTTTAACCATGTTGGTGAACTTAAAGAGAGAATTGTAGGTTGCAAATGGAAACATGTAGAGAAGGTGTACAGCCAAGTTAGGAAAGGAGGATTTTTTTTTTTTTTCAGCTGTTCTACATAGGCTTAAAAAGATGATTCTGTATGGTCTTCCTCAGTGTGTCAATATCTTTAGTTCCTTGGAGACCAGATTATGATGCTTTGATCTCTGCTATGGTTTTTTAAAGTAAGAAATTTTCAACTGCATTTTGATTTGATTTACACAAGGATGCAAAGGTGTGAATTGCATGTAGATAACATTTGCAGATTTCACAGGTACGGAAAATTAGACGGGGAGAAAAGCTACAAATCTCTGTAAATATAGTATGTTTGATGCACTTTTGATATATCTGATCTCATGCTTTTATAAAAATTACATTCTTATAAAAATTTACATTCCTGTCAAATGTACTAGGGATGTTTGTACATGATATTTTACGTGAATGTAAGAATACAGATTAAAAGATTATTATGTGGAATACGTATATGTATGATTTTGAGTTATGTGTTTTCAAAAGGAAATATTCATTTTTGTTGTCAGTCACTAAACTTGCATAATGTGCCTTCCCTAACACCATGCTAACAAGGTGTTTATACCATATACCATCATCTTGTGTTCTTTGCTTTTGAAGTGCATATTGTGCCTTCTGCATGAAAATAAAATGTGGAGTTTATCAGCTGTTCCATAGATTTGTATGTTAAGTGAACTGAGCAAGCTGATGCTCAGTGCCTTCTCCTAGATGGATTGAAAGGGTGCTAAAGCTGAATTCCCAGCATGTTAAACAGAAACCCAAACATTCCATGATCTTGTCACAGGTAGCAGAGCTGGCAATAAAATGAAGTGTTTAACTGTTGGGTTATGCTGGAAGATCTTTTAGCTTTGCTATATAGTTCTTAGAGGACTCTTATTTATCATGTAAAAAAAATGGGCCCTGAAATGTTTAGAAGTCCATGTGGTAATTCAGTCAATATTCTAAAAGCATTGAGATTTTTGTTTCACTTTGAGATGTCTTGAAATGATTGCATCCTGTCTGTCTGATGGGCAGCTTGGGAGCGTGGCTTCCCTTTCCTGCTGTCAGATTCTGCTGTGCAGCAGAGAGCAGACAGGAGTCACCTTGGCTGCAAGTGTGGCTGTGTGCTGTGCTGAGAGCTGCCAGACTCAGGGGAAGCCTTCCATTCATCCTTCAGGTTTTGGTCCCTGCCAGAGAAAATGAAAGCTAGAACCTTTTCTGAGGACAGTGGTCAGCAGGATGAGAGAGGAGTTCAGGAGGATGGGAAAATGAAATCCCTCTAGTTAGCTGACTTGAACATAAAGTCAAATATGAAGGCATTCGTGTCCTTCCCCAGATATGTTTCCCTTCATGTGACAGCTGAGTGCCCTAAATTCCACCTTAGGATTTCCTCTGAGGGTCAGAGTTGTGCCTTTGTTTTGGACCTGTAACCACACAGTGGGCCCTGACCCCACACTGTTCTGCAGCACTGCCATATCAAGTTTAATTTATATTTACTCTGTTTCTAACATTTCTGTTTCTTTTCTCTTTTTTCTTTTACATGCTTTCATGAGTATAGCAGACCATTTAGGAATTGAATTCATGGGTAAGTTTTAACTTTTCTTCCTTTCAATTGCTCAGATTTATCTTGGTTCCTTAGTCCAAAGAACATGGAAGTTAATGTTTCCATGACCTCCCATGACCCCCACCTCTGGGTTTTGGACTGGGTTCCTTTTATACTTACCAATTACATTTGAAATTATATGAAGGTTCAGTTTTTTCTCTTGTTCACTGCTATGGAGCTTAAAACCTACATAATGATGTTTTAGTATTTCATTGGTATTTAATGAAACATAGCATAAAGGTTATGTGACCATATAATCTTGAGGAATAGTATTTTATATGTGATTTTAGGGTAGAGTTACTAACTTTTTCATATAAAGGAAAGTAAATTTTAAATCAGATATTTTCTTTTGTTAAAAATTTGTTGTTAATTACGATATTAAATTTAACTAGGCTTAATAAGAAACATTAAAGTTAGTTCTCTTAAATCAGAGAAATACTTCTAAGAAAAGAGTAAAAGATCCATCATTCTGTGAAAAAAAGTTAAATTTGTTAGAAAAAAGCTAAAAATTGAGTGAATAATTACTTCTTACAATTTTGGAAAGGAAGATAACATTGTTGGCTCAGCTGCAGCTCTGTGGTGTGTTCATAGCCTCATGGAATGGCAGCTTAACAGATCACCTCTCAGCTGGTGATCTTCAGACTTGAGGAAGCTGAGATCCATCTTTAACAGTTAGTGGTCCTTTGTGTCAGAACAGCTTGCATAAACCATTAAATATGAATGAAAACACTATAATAAAAAGCAGGCAAATTCCTATTGGAGTCACAAACTAGTTACTTTTAATATGTTCTTTCCTGATGTTAAGTTTTACTTGATTTTTTTTCGATTTTATAATTAAGAGCCTTATAACCTATTGATTTTAAGTTCCAGTTAAGTATAAATTGTCAAGAAACCAATATGGTGATGAATATTAACTGCATGGCAGGCTGCAGGAACAAGAGGATAGCCAGCAGGTTCAGGGATTTTCTCCTACTGCTTGTGGATTTTGTGCCAGTCCTAGAGCATTCTCTCTAGGGAACTGGTTTGTGAGGTCCAGAAGTTTTGTGTTTCACTTCACTTTATGTGAGGCTTGTAAAGTGCCAGTGGAATCACTGCAAGTGTCTTCAAAGACTCAGTGCACAAGCACAGCTGGGGAATGGTTACTTGAAAGGCTCTGCATATATCCTGCTTTTCCTGCTTAGCTTAAATTGGGAGCAGCAATCTTGAGGCATACAAGTTGAAGGTCAAACATATATGTAAAAGAGGATAAGAAGTATGGATATATGGGATGCTTTCCCAAATATCCTTTGAGTGAACCTTTCTGTAAGAAGCAGGGAAGTGTAACCCAATAGTCAAAGCTGAATTATTTTAATTTTATTTTGAGACTTTCAGTTTCCTCTCTTTTTTTTATCACATCTCTTTAAGGCATGAGCTAAAGCCAGTCCCCAAAATCTTGGCTCAGAATAGTCCTCTCATATGAGTAGCTCTCAGATTTTTTTATTTAATATTGGAGCAGATCCTGATGGCATAAAAATTAATGAAATCTTGTGTCTTAAGCCTGAAAATATTATGACAGCAGCCTAAAATGAACCTTGAAGTTGTTTTCTGTGGGCTAGAAAAAAGCAAGTTCTGGAATCATATGCAAAAGTGAAATGCTTGTGCTTCTTAAATCCCCCTCTAGTCTTCATGAAGATTTACTTAGGAAATGAAATCATTGCTATGCATGCAGCAAAGTAGAAATCCACACCCTGTACACAGAGAGTTTAAGTGACAATATGCTCATCAAATTAGGGACACTCCTGTAAAACCTCTACCTCTGGACTGTAGAAAATCATGATAATTTGTGCAAAAAGTGTTTTCTAGCTAGGAAAAACAACAATGCAGAGACAGTGCTGAACTTGCTGTTTGTACATAATCCAGAGAACACTTTCTAATGTTTTCATTGCATTTGTGGCCTCGGTTGCCTTAGAAATTCCATTTTCATCATCATCTTCCAGAGATTTTATTTGAAAACCATGTAAGCCATGTAACTTGGATTGCCAGGGCCAGCTGAATTCCTTCCACGGTAGACAAAGCTGAAACCTCATGTCAATGGGAATATCTGTCTGTAGAGGTGTAGAGGTGTCCAAGGGCACAGATGAAAAGTGCACTGAAACTGCACACCTACTTTAGCCAAGGAAGGTAGATAAGTGTAGTCATTACTTTTTCTTTTCTTTTTTTTTTTTTTTTTTTTTTTTTTTTTTTTTTTTTTTTTTTTTTTTTTTTTTTTTTTTTTTTGTTGTGCTAGACTCTCAAGGATCAGTGAAGTGTATATATATATAGCCAGTCCTTTTACTGTCCTGTTAGGGGGCTGTGGTCCATGAATTTGTGTATCCTGTTGTGAACCATTTGGTACCCTTTTCCCCCACAAGCTCCTGTGGCAGCCCATACCAGTGCTCAGTAGAGGTAGTGTCTGTTGTTTTTCCATTACCTGTTTAAATCTCCTTCCTGCTGGACCCTTCTCTCACAAACAGTACTTTGGGAACAAGAATTATACATTCAGTTCATGTACTACACTGAATTTTGTTAACCTTGCTCACGGTCTCACACCCCCTTTCCTGTCTGGGTCTTGTCGGGTTTGTGTTCTGTAGAATATTCACTATTGTGCATTCCAAAACTTGAATACCTGTTACTTTTATGCTGCTGATACTGATTTACACTGTTTCTTTTTATGGCTAGCAGAGACAAAGGCAGGCATATTGATGTGGCACATTTGTTTTAAAATGTTGCAAATGTACCAATGAATGTAAGGTTCTGATGTATTTATGTGCTGCAACTCCTGATTTAAATGAAAGCCAAGTATGTGGTCAAGGGACATTATGTCCTTAAAATTGTGGATTGAAGTATTTTTTTCACTGATCCAGCTTTATGAAACTTTTGGTGATAAAGAAACGGTTTATACTTGCTAGTACATCAAGTCAAAAAAAATAATAAGTCTTGTGTCTTATTGTCACTTGATTCAATATCCATCTGTGATGCAATCTCCTGGACAGGCTTTGGGCAAGGTCTTTTAATCTGTCTGTGCTTCAGATTCTCAGTTGGAGTAAGTTTTTTCAGGCTTTCTGAATTTAGATGCCTCAGCTCTTTCAATACCACAGAAACTATTTCTTCCTTGCAAGAGGGTGCAGACTTGGCTGTGTCCTCTCCTCTCTTCATAGAGGAGCAGAGCTGTGTGAGGAGAGCCCCGTGCAGCTCCCCTGGTCTGCTCTGGTGCCCTGTGTCTCTTATTCACATTTCCAACACAAAAGTAAGGAAAAGTTGTCACCATGGTCCAACAAACTAGAAATATATGAGCAGTAGTAACAATTCTGTGTCGATGGGAAGCAGGCTGGTGCTTGGTAATGTGTATGTGAGCAAGAGAGATTTTTTAAAAAAATCAAAAGAAGCATCTGTTATTCTTTTATACAATGAAAAAACTAAGTGATGTATCATTAGCATTAGAGTATGGGGTTACAAGTACCTACAGCTTATTATCATTTTTTGACCCAAGTGGTTAACTGCACTTCAGGACTGAATGGTTGACCTTTCTGGTGAAAATTTTGTTGATGAGGGAAAATATCTGTGACATCAAACAAGGTCACTTTGGAGCAAGAGGTAGCAGCTGAAAGCTGTTGTAGAGACTGGCCTGGTGCATGTTCTCCCAGCTGCAGGGTGAAATCATTACCTGAGAGTCATCTGTGGATGTTCTGAGCTGCAAGCCAGTGCCTGAGACAAGGAGTTGCCTCTTCAACTCATTTCTTACACTGAGGAGGAGTAGAGTTAAGGTCTGCTAAGGCATGAAACACAAAGGTGAGTATTGGAACAACCTGCAACAACATAGAACAAACATAACTGTTGCAGCAACTTGCCTACACCACCGACTTCTGATGATCCAGAATGATGATCTTTTATGCTCTAACAGTACTTTATGCTCTAACAGTACTTTATGGTGGATGCAGCTGGAAATAAAATGCCCCAATAAATTGCAACAGCCAAGTTGCTGCAGTGTTTGATGGAAATACTGACATAACATGAAACAGTTTTTATCCTTGGGCTGCTTACTAGTTAAACCAGTATCAGTGGTATAAACAATTTTGATGTCATCATCTCAATCTCCCCATGGGTGAATTACAGAAAACCAATGTAGTGTTGTAATATTTAGTCACTACTTTTAATTTGTTTATTCTTAAGACTTAAACAGAAAGTTAATATTTTTCCTTAGAACTACTTATCTTTTCTGGAAAAGTCAGGAGCTTCACTGAAGTCAATGGAGTATGAATGGTATATAATACCTTGTAAGTGCTGAATCATTAAATAGCATTTAATTGAGCAGAGTAATAAAGTAACTCAAGAATGAGATCCTATTAAACTTTATATATCTCCTTGCAATGACTACAGTGTGAAATGTGTTCTGTAGTCTGAGCAGCTGTAAACAGTGGAGAAGATGGTACATGCTGTATTTTCACTGTGCCTATTCTTGTTGCCTCCTCATTGTGCTAAGATGATGTAAGACTCTGGGTGCTAAGATGATGTAAGACTCTGGGAATACCTGATCCAGTTAACCAGACTGACTCAGTGACCTTGTGTCACTCACTGTGATTGACGCATTTTGGTTTTTACAAAGTGCAAAAGTTGGTTTAGCTGATGGGCAGGATAACCAGTAGTGCAACAACTTAGTATTTTTCCTGTATGCCAGAAATAAAAAGGCAAAGTTCATTAGTCCTTGCACTACTCAAAAACTGGGACCTGGATTCTCTCCTCTGAAACTCAATGTTTTGCAGCAGCAACCAGAAAATGATAATAAATAACCAGTGTCTGTATGGATGGTCCTTGCCTTAGTTACCATTTAGAAGCTCTTATCTGTTATACCCTGTAATGCTTCAGTCCTTGCTGGAAGGGAGGATGAATGAACATTCATTGAATTAATGACCAAAACTGTATGTGTTCTAAAGGTTTAAAAAATAAAGAAATTAAGTTCCGTTTTCCCTCTATTCCTTTTTAATAGTATAAAGCGGGTAGATCTTTTGCTGATAATATGGCTGGTTTTATGCTCCTGTTTACACAAAATCTTTTTAGAGAGTCTGATCACAATCATCCCCCAGAACTATGAGACTATATCTTTCTAATAATTATTGTTATTTATCATTAAGCATTTAAATGAGTTCATCTGTACTCTGTTGGTAAATTTCTGAAGAACTAAGAAGGGCTGTTCTGGTAGGCACTGATACTTGTAATGTTTTCTACCATCATCATTGCTCCTTGAATCCCTTTGTTCTTCATCCTGCCTCACATTTTCATTACCTCCTTCTGCCTTTTATCTTTTCAAACGCAGCAAAGACTTTGCTCTTGGGATCTTTTCTAAATTCACTAAAGGCTTTGCTCTTGGGACCTCATCGTTCAGTTTGCCTTATGAAATACCTGTCCTTTTTAAGTATGCTGCAAAATAACAATAGCATCCTGAGGCATGAAATGGATTTAGACCCTCAGCACTTTCCGTGGGATTCACTTAGCTGGGAAGAAGAGTCATTTGTCATCTCTAGAGAAAAGAGATGTAAGCAGCAGAAGAGAGAGTTTTACAGGAGCAGCTGATGCCTGAGTGCTGTAAGAGCAATGGACAGAGCAGAGGTTCCTCAGGGGCTGCAGGAAGCTCTGCCAGTGCTTGTACCTGTTTAGGAAAACATCTCTGCTAGACGACAGTCAGCGTGCATCTGCTGCATAAGTTACAGGCTGCCTCACATCTTGGCTCAGTTTTAGACATGGTTCTAGTTCAGTTGAAAGATTTTTACCTAAATGTTTTGTAACCTATCTACCATGTTGGTTTTGTACTACTATCTTTACTTTGTTGGTTTGGTACTACTATCTTTACTTTTCTTGATATGTCATTTATCTGCACATCTGTATTGGCAGTGAACTGGGTTGGATTAACTTGCATTGTATTTAAAAGGTTTACTGTATGGTTAACTTATCTGTATTATTAATTGCCTTATTGTGATGCTTTCTCAAAATAGTAATTCCGTGAACTGGGTGGATAAAATAATTTTAATACATTTAATTTACTCTGATGACCTTCCTCAGTACTTGGTTTCTGCTGTTGTCTCTAACTGAACCTCCTAATCATTTGTGATGAAACTTACAGCAATTTAAAAAACACAAACTGATAACAGGGTGTACTGACAAGTTGAGAAAGCCAGAGCTGCTCTGGGTTTTTCTGTTTTGCTGGGGTCTGGGCTGGGATGAGGAGAAAGTTGCATTAGGTGAGATCTGTATAAGACTGTAAAAGGGATTGTGCAGCATCCCTAATGATACATAAGGATTGTAATTCTGTCACTCCCAAGGTGAATGTGGACTAAGTTCCACTGTGTGCTGTGGGGGGGCACTAATAAGGTCCAAGTGTTACATGTGGGTTAGAAAAGAATTTGTGAAGCCTCAAAAATTGATGTTGTGTACAAGCCTCCAGGTAAGTTTCCATGTAGGTCCTAGTGGAGGTACAACCTCTTCTTCATCATGCCAGCTTCAAAAACTTTTGGCACCTCAGGGAGAAGGGGCATGGACTTCCAGTTTGGATTTCAGCTGAGGATACAACATCTCATCTGCTCACAGAGGGGCTTTGCTGTGTCCTGTCTCTACATACACATCTTATGTGTAGGTTCTGGTTTGGGATTAGGCATGTGCCCTCAGCTCCTGCACAGCTGGTGTGCCTCAGAGTTAAACACTTTTTATTATGAAATACAGGTAATTAGATGGCTTCAACACTGAGCAGACAGCTGTGTATTTAAATGTGACCTTATACCCAGTCAGTCTCATAACCTGCATTTTGAATATGGTATTTAGGTGAATGCTGTGCTGAGCCTGAGGAATTGTTAAAAGTGACACAATGGTATGCTAATGCAATTAGATGACTTGCAGTGCTGAGATTTGGCCTTTGTTTGGGCTCAGTTGCAGTTTACCCAGATGCAAAAATATGTAGCCAGTAACTTGTACACTGCTGAAACAAGCCTAGCAGGGCAAAGGTGAGATCCCGGTGTCAAAGGTGGTGCTACAGACAGCTGCCACAGATCTGCCAGTGACACCTCATAGCTCTTGTAGGGACAGGGCTGGGAGGAGGCTTCAAAGCAGTGAGTACCATCTGGACATGTCCCTGAGAACTTGGGGTCTGTTGTTTGGGGTGGGGGGGTTTGTTATTAGTAGAAGGTTGCTCACTGTGTGTTGAGGTTATCTTGACACAGGAGGAGAAGCTCCACACACCTGATCTGCACCAGTTTGTGCTGCCATGGTGAATCAGTGCTACTTTGCCCTTTTGCTGCATGGAGGTGGTACCCACATGTCAAGTCTCATTCTGTAACTGATGCAAGGATTTGGAAAGCAGAATGTAAGTATACCAATAGATGTTCCATGGCAGTGGTGCACTTGTAATGTATACTGCAGTTGTATAGAAAAATCAATGGTTTTGACAGTGACCCAAATCTTTTTCTGTCCTTCTGTGTTCTGCCTAGAATGAGCAGAGATGCTGTCCTGCCAGTAATTGCTGGAAGCAGAGGAGAAGGGTAAGCAGTGTGGAAAAATTGGCAACGTGCTGCATAGAGCACTACGTTATTGTTTCATGCACTGCCTTTTCTCTTCTTTTGCAGGAGCTGTAGGATATTGGCACGTGGAGAAGCGCAGAGATATTCCCACTCTGGCTGACAGTTTCTAATAAAGATATTTTTATTGTAATTGAAATTGTCTCATGATCATTTCCTGTTCCAATCAGCATCAGTATATCCTCATTTCAGGCATGATTCTGCTGAAAAACACTCTGTCCAGTGGCCCAGGGTATCTGGTGGGATTGCTTCAGACTTAACAGCCAACAATTATCTGGGACACAAGTGTGAGCAGCACAAAAGGAAGAGGGAAAAACAAATCCTATGTATGAGTGTGCAGGTGGTGTTCTTGTATGCTCAGTTATTAACAACAGGAAATAATCTCAGAGTTGCTTGTAAACTGTTACATTCAGATGAAAAACTGACTTTTTTGTTTACCACTAGTGGCTTTTCTTCATTGAATGGGTAAATAAATCATCATGAGGTATTTTCATTTACCATGGATCCAGATCCTTTTGGATCATGTTCATGTCATTTACTCACTGCATTTATATCTATTGCATCAGTCATCCTGTAATTATCATATGAATTAATATGATCTTTTTATTTTTGTGCTGAGTTAATTATGTACTACTCCATGCCTACCAAGTAAACTCTATTGTAATATAGTATTACTCTGTGGTTATTTTTTACATCTCTTGGTAATTTTACATTTCACATTCAAAAAGAGAATAAAAAATGTAAATACAAAAAAGAATCTGGTAATGGAGAAGCATCAAATGGGACAGTATATTAGTTCTCACAAGAATTACCTAAAACAGTTTAGGGTCTTCACTGCTCAATAGTGAAATACAAAGTAACAGAGAAAAGCTAGACAAAATTGGAGCAAGCAGTTTATAGAGGGGATGAAACTAAGAGAAAAAGCAGTTTATTTGCCATTGAGAACGTTACTACTTGTATTAGTAGCTTCCCACAGCTTGCTGTTAATTGCTAGGTGTGTAAAGCGTTTCCTCATTGAAATAATGACCTTAGTTACCCAAATTCAAGGTTTTAAGAAATGCAAGGAGCATGGAGTGAAGGCAGCTGATGCGTTCCACAGGGCAGTGCTGGTGGCTGCCTGCCCAAGCCTGGCCTCCCTTGTGCACTTCCAGCTCTTGCCAGTCCTCTGTGCATGAGCTAAAGTTCCTCAGGGCTGTAAAGACTTGAATACCTCAGTGCAAGACAAGAGTATTTAAAATTGATGCTTTCAAAGATTTTGGGTGTTTTCAGAGTGTTAGTTGAGTGTATATTTTGAGAATTGCAGTTGGACTTAATAAGAATTTTGTGTTGCTCTTGATTTCTGAGTAAAACACATGGAAGTCAGTGGATATTTTGGAATCGTGTCTGTTATTGCTAATACAATGTACAGAACTTGAAATCAGGATCCAGTGTGTGACTAGACTTGACATGTGAAGTGAGCCTGTCCTTTTTCTGATTGGTTCCAAATTACCTAAATCTAAAAAACTCGATAAACCTCTCAACAGTAGTTACAAAATTGAGTATATACAAGTAATTTGGTGCAATTTTGCAAAGCTAGGAGTATCTTTGTTTTCTCTCTTGAACTTCCATTATTCTTCTCCCTACCTTTTCTCTTTTGTTCCTTCCTGATTGTTTGGTGTTCCTTTTTTAATGTACCCCTGTGGATCTTCTTTTTGTGTTAGTTTCATAAATCTGCTGATCAATGAACTTATTCTGTTTAAATGTGTTACTGTTTACAGCAGTAAACTACAAATCAGTTGTATCACAAACTGTTCTGTTTAGCTTTAATGGAGAGTACAGCATGCACACACTGAAGTTTTACTCATTTATTATCATAATGCCCTCTCCTGTACCCAGAAGTGTTGCAGCATTTGAAAAATGGAAATCACAATATACACTAACTTTACCAGCTCATAAAATATGAATGCTCAGAAAATGAATACAGCAGTGTTAAATACAGTTAATCAGCTTTAGAAAAACAAAAATACGTATTTATCACTATAATACATACATGCATGGGATATTAATGAAAAATACCAGATACATCATTTTCTGTGTTTATTCTACACTGTGCTCATTACTCTCTTTCAAATAATTTAAATTTGCTTTCAAGATAAGGACAATTTGCTGCTGATGAGAAAAGTCTGGATGTCTTCTGTGCTATATTTTTCTTTGAGGCTGTGAACTAGAATCTATGCACTGAATATAAAGCTGGCTGGGATGGAGATTTTGTACATTACAGTGGACTGACAGAGTAGACCTTTAAAATTGTTGAGCTGTAAACAATTGCCTATAGTACATTGTTAGGAAGTGTATCATAAAAATACAAGACTTTATTAAACTCAAATTAACAACCTGTCTCAGTGAGAGTGTAAGACTGTGATTCTGCTGAATTTTGCTCCATTAAGTTTTTTTATGCTTCTGACTTTAGGTAATGTGCTTAAGTCAAAACCAAGAAAGTGGCATCTGTTGAGTGTTTGTTTAATGAATGATGGAGAGAAAATTACAAAAACAAGTAAATATTTTATTTGTCAGTTTTTTCTTGTGAATCTATGTGTGTTTTAAAAACTTCTCTTGCCTGATGGAGTTTGTTTTCAAGGTAAGGTGGTACCAGAGGATCTCATTTTTTCATTTAGTAGTGAATCCTGTCTTGAAATAAGATGGCTGACCATTGGTGGGAGAAGGTGACTGAATCCTATAGAAATTCTATAGAAAAAATCAAGTCACTTTAAATTTATTCCATTAAGTTACTTAAAGGTGAACTGGAGAGAAAAAGTAGATGTAATTGTCTTAAATTATGCTGTTTCTTTGAAGCTAAATAGGTATTCATGTGGGTTTTTTCAAAAAATTACTTTTAAGCATATGTTCTAGTCAAGTTTTTGTTCTAAAAAACTGTGAAAATATTCATTTAGACCTCGTGGAAAATATGGAAATTCTGTCATTTATTTTTTGTTGAATGCAAGTGGTGAGTCGTGAGAACTCCTTTGGGTGGCCAATATCTTACTTGTCAGTGCTGGGTCAGAGGTTCTTATTTGACTCTGATGCAATTGATGTGGAGAGAGGACAGCTGAAAGACAATTCAAATGTCTGCCTTGGCACTGATGCTGCTTTATCCAACTTTTATGTCAGGAGTTGTTTCCTCAAAGCGTGAGTAATGTAATGACACTGCCTTGTTTTTCAAGTGATTTGTAATTTTTTCTATACTTTTTAAGAGGTGTTAGTATCCATGTGTCAGCTATTTTGATGGTTTCATTGCCTCAACACCTTTGTGGATTGGGTTTAGCATCTGTAGGCCATGCATCAGTTTGGTAAACATCCCATTCAGTCTGCTCGGCCATGTTCGGTGAAAGTCGAACAGTCCTTGGGGAAAAAAAATGAAACTCACCTAAAAGTTTGCAGGTATAACTCTTATTGTGGAAAATTGTGAATTCAGAATTGAAATGTGCTCCAGACACTTTACTGGATGTTCAGCCTGTGCTCCTGGTTCTGGTGGTGCTAGTTTAGCAAAAATGGGACATAGTGTGTGCTCCCTTTTTGGAACTGTGACAAACATGTTCCCTAAACCTCCCCAAACCCTGAAATATACTCCATTTCCCTAAATCTCCCTTAAATTTAGATTTTTTGTGTTTTTTCTCTTAATAAATTATGCTAATAAAAATTCATGAAACTAGCAGTATATTATTCACTTATCAGGGAATTATCTTCCCATAATACTCCCCATGATGTAACATTATTTTTTCTCCCATTTTATACTCCTCATTTTATGGAGCCAAGATGTGTACCATCCATCATTTAATTTACACTTTTGTCATCTTTATTGCTTGCTCAATCACTTTGATACCTTCACCTTATCCTTCCTTGTTTTGCTTTCAGTGTTCTAAAAACTGTGGATGTTCTTGTTGGTAGCACAGCTGTGCTGATGAACCTCCTTGCAAAGTCTTCTGCTGTTCAGAGGAGTGTGTCTCTCCCTGTCATTACTTGTGTCACTGTTCTGAAGAAAAGCTTTTTAGCTCTTTACTTCCTCTGGGTGTTTTCCTTTCCTCTTCCATCGTTTGTCACAGCTCTGCAGCCATCGCTCACTCCCTGCTTATTTTGGTAGCACCATTTCTTCTGGTGTCGATGTTCACTATTTTCCCTTAAAAAAGTCTGTAATGTTAAATTTTCTAAATTTTTCGTAAGGCCATATATGAACACCTGCATCTATTATTCAGAACTCATTTCTTTTATGCTATAACCTAGAACTTCTTTTATAATCCAGTAATAAATGAGAGCCTTCAGTTTCTTCAGAGGGGTTTTTTTTGCCGACCTCATGTTTATCTCCCAACTGTTTTTTAGTTAATTGTGCAACCCCTGCAGTGCAAGGAGCTAACAAATAATTCTAACAAATTATTGTTAGAATAATTTAGATATCCCTTCCCTCTTTGCTACCTCTGTCTTCATGCACTGGCCTCTTTGTGCAATATGTTTGAAGTGGTTCTTGGTCTAGAATAGATTATTTACTAGCATACAAATCATTTTTCTCCAATTCTTTTCTCCAGTCTTACATCTGAGAGTATTACTTAATAGTTATTGCCTGTTTACCTTTAAGGAGGTGCTAATTCAATCTTTTAAAATTTTATTTAAAGCTTTATGCCACTTATTATACTTCCACATGTACTTTTTTAGTTATGTTCCCTGTTGTCTGTAACTTCTGTCCTCTAGAGCAGTAGTTGGTGTGCCTGTGCGTTACCTTCTTACTTAAAAAGTATTTGTAAAATGGATGTCCCAGAACCCCTGCATGATTCAGGGTAGAATCTAAAGGTCTCTAACCTGAGGTTCGAAGCAGGGTCAACTCAGGTGCCACCAGGCTGCTCAGGACTTTATCCAGATTAATCTTAAAAACCTTGGACTGCACAACTTCCCCAGGCAACCTGTCCCAATGCTTGACTGTTCTAATGGTAAAAGATTTTCCTTATATCTAGATAAAATTTGTTATTTTTCTGTAAATACTCTGGAATAATGTATTTTCTGCTAACTGATATTTTGTGATTCAGACAATTAATTGGTTATTGATACTCAATTCTCTGCTTATATGCTGGGTAGGCAAAAATAATTTAGTCTTAGTTTTGATAGTCCTATTTT